CAATCTGATGCCGCATGATGTGTATCCTGTGCATGAAGGGCACAGTTTTACACAGGAGTTGTACTCATTCTGCACAGCTTGGTCTTCCTTCTGGGGAAAAAATGACCACAAACCTTCTGAGGAATTCTGGAATTTCTTGAGGGCAAGAAATCTTACCCCAAGAAACCTTCCTGCCAGGAGATGAAAGGGATCCCCCCCCCATTTCTTTCTGAGAGCCAGAGGAAAGGGTTTCACATCCCTAGAGTACATTTGTAGGAGAGTTTAATCATGTATGATCCTGGAGCTTACAGGATGTTAAGTCCTGCCCAGCAGCATGCATCTGCTGATCCTGCACAGCACTGACAGCTGAGACTTAAAAACAAACAAACAAAGCAACCCACAGAAGCCTCCTTCGCTAGAATGTCTCTGGAATCTTGTGTTGCAGATATTCTCTGTGGATCTACACTTGCAACATGCACAAAACTAAAGCATGTGAATACATTGTGGCTGTGTGAGGTGCAACCTCTGGGAAAGTGGGTAGAGATAGAGGATGGGAGGAGAAACTGTCCACAGTGGCACCAGCTTTGGCATAAAGTCCAAGTCGGCCACCTTGGGTTCTTTTTAAGGAGAAAAGTGGGATAACAATATTTGAAATAAAGAATTTTTTAAAAAATATATATGTATATTACATTTTTGACGGGCAGAAATGTTAGCCATGAACTTCTGAACTCAAGGCAGAATGGGAGATAGGTGAAGGGCTGGAGGCCCACTATTGGATGAGCCTGCAGAATAAGGATATCCAGTTGGTGCAAACTTTGCTTCTTTCTCCCTCTTTCAGTTTAGTAATCTCCAGAGGGTTTTCCTTGTAGAGGGGAATGGTGAATAAGATCGACCAGAGGTAGGGACTGTTCAAAGAACAACAGGCATCTTGAGCTGTATCCTCCTTTTGTTTTTGTTTTTTTGTTGTTGTTGTTTTGATTCTGAGATGTTTTAGAAAAGCCAGTGGCATCAAAGGAGCCACCTGGAAAAGAGAAAAGCTGCAGCAGGCACATCCTGGCCTTTAGGAAAATCCTCTTCCTCTGACCAGTTCGGTATGATCTTGGTTTGCATCTCACCAAAAGTTTCAAGGAGCAAGGCAGGCAGCCATCCAGCTTCACATTTCACATGCTTTTGTCCATGGAGTGAAAGGAATTGCTTTGCCACAATAGATTTTCCTCACCTTATGTTCTTGCGTTTAGCGTGCTTTGTTTTGTGATTGGTTGTTGGACAATAAATGGTTGATCCGCAGGCCTCAACTGCTGAGACACGCATCCCTATGGAAATATCATTGTTCAAGGGAAATACAGTTGATCATAACCCTTGGTGTCTAAGCTTACCCTGCTGAGTCAGAAAATATGACATAAGCCACAGCTACATATCAAATAAAGAATTTGTATGGATAGGCCTAGTGGCCCATTCTTGCTGAAGTGCCAAGCAAAGCAGAGATCCAGATCATGCACTGGATCTGACTTCTGCTTCCCTCTCACAAGGGGAAAGCTTCATACAGCCAGAATGGGCACTGGGGCCGCTGGCCTTGGCCGCCACTCAGATCACTTGCAATCTCTTGGACAAGATGCTCCAGGTACAGAAAAGAACCTGGGCTAGAAAAGAAAGGTTGCTGATCTGAATGAAAGCAGCATGTTTGCAGCTCACAAGGCTTGTTGCTGGAAGAGTCATGTCTCCTCTCTAAAATATACACATTTGCAAGGATTGGGAGGCGTTATTGGGAGAAATCAAATGTGCTCAAAGCAATGTGTAGATTAAAAGTGTGAGTGGCTAGAGCACATGCATCAGTTAGGTCAAGTATATAAAATACAGTTGAACGTTAGGAAAAATGCATACAATGTGTGCACAGATTTTGTGTGCCTAACACACACACACACATGAAGTCTGCAATAAGAAGGGCAAGGGGGGGGAATCTGTTAGGATTTGAAGGAAAGCAACATAACGTGAAGCTGAACTATTTTCTCATCACTGCACAAGAGGCTGAGAAGTCAGCCTTGCCAGGGAAAGGGGAGGCTGCTAGCTCGGGGCAGGAAAAGGTGCTCTAGGTTAAAGTAACTTTTCTCAGAAACTTTTCCCATCTTTGGCATAACTTTTGGTCTGATTAAACAAAGAGGATCAGGTCATCCAGTGCAGCCCTTGCAGTCAAAAGCAGAAGACCTCCAAATAACAGGGACAATGTCATGTTGGTTATTCGCACCCTACTTGAGCATCTTCTTGGAAGTAACAGTTTAGCTGCTGTCTGGGGGGAAAAAACAAGCTTGAGCCAGAGCAACATATCCTGTGAGATGGGTTTTAAAAAAAAGGCCTCTGGCTCCCAAAAAAGTCTAAATCTAAAAGTGAAGAGAAACAGAAGTGAAGAGAAACAGAAGCAAAAGTGAAGCTCTGTTTCGTATCTAAGAAAACAATTGTGGAGGATCAGCAAGGCAGGCTCAACCAGCTTTAGGAAAGGAAAATGCCATTTAAAAGAAATCCTTCTCCCTTAAGCCTCAGTAGACACTCACAAACACATATTGCTTCCAGTGCATACGCAGTGGTGTAGTGGAGTCAAGACTTGCAGCGTTGAAGCCCTGGAGGTTTCTGATTAGCAGGGTCTTTACCTTACCCACCATTCCGCACCTCCCCTGTTCCCTCTGAGCTTTGTTATAATCCCCACAGTAACAGGTTTTCTTAGAAGCAGACGATTGCAGTGCTTCCCAACCTTGACTTCCCCAGCTGTTCTTGGGACTGCAACTCCCAGCAGCCTTCACCCACGAGCTGTGCTGGCCAGGATTTCTGGGAGTTGCAGTCCAAGAACACAGAGGTTACCCAAAGTTGGGAACCACCGGTGTATTGTTTCAAGCAACCCTTGTTCTATTGCAAAGTCTTAGAGACTGACTTGGTCATGAGTGAGCAATCAGGAACCGGTAACATCACAAAAGATCTGCTCCTTGTTTTATATCTATGGACCGGTCTGATGGCCTGCACGCTGGAATGTCTTTTGGGGGGAACGACATTAGCCCTCGGTATTGTCAAGATGAGCACCTGACACTTACAAATGTGTCACTACCGACCGTACAGCATCTCTTGCTATGTCTTAGGCAAAGGATGGCAGAATGAGGCTTTGTAGGAAAATGTATGCGTCCGTGCATGTGCATGCATGCATGCGTGTGTGTGTGTCTGTGTGTGTGTCTGTGCAGACAGGGAAGAATTCTTTCTTTCCTCAGCATATCTGTCAATTTCAGAAACACTTTTAGATTCTGCTGATGCCATGGAATCATTTTTGAGGCGAGCGGCATGCTACAAAAACCACACCACACACGCAAAGCAGCTCTGACTCAATTCCCGGCAGCGCCGCAAATTACACAACAAGAGGTTTTGCGTCGTACCGCACTTTGCCGATGTTCCTTTAATCTCCCCACCCCACCCCGCCTTCAATTACAAAATAGGTCAGGGCCAAAACACAGAAGAAAGCATCAGAAATAGCCCCTGTATGCCTAATGACAGATTTCCTTCCCTCCCCGCCCCCCCGGCGCCCCCTGCCAAAAAGCCGAGCCTGTCACCCTGACAGGAGTAATTTAGCAATTTGTACAAGATAAGAACAGTGACGGCGCTCCAGATGAACAGATGGTTCCTGCATTCTGAATCCTCCCGTAATGTAAAGAAAATGCACAACGGCTCAGATGATGGTTTATATAGACTCAAGGGACAAGACTGCCGAAATGTGCGACCAGGAGCCCCGCCCCCTCTCAAAACCAAGCTTGGCAGAAATCTCTCCAGAGGCAAAAGGGCCTGTCTGGTTGAACATACCTGGAAGCTGAGTCCTGTCTCCACCAGACTCAGCAAAATCCAAACCAAAAGGAATGGAAGGGTTTGCATGGACAAAGTGTCAAGACGGAATTCAACAGGCGTTCCTGGGCACGTCAGCCTCTCAGGAAGGGATGAATGATGGCCACATTTTCTCTCCCAAGCAGGGAGCGCTTCCAACGGTCCTGGGACTTGTCCAATGGGTTTAGAACAGGTGTTCTAAATGCCTGCTCTAAAGGGAAGGGCAGACTTCCAGATGTTCTTGGTTTGCAACTCTCACCAGAAGTGATGAGAAATGCTGGAAATTTCGATTCAACCCTTTGCCCATCCAAGCCCTGGTGAAAGGAGACCCTTGCACTCCACCAGCCTTAAGGCAGCTCTGGAAGCACATTCGGGTGGAGCCAGGGCCGAAGTTCGGCGGGGCCAACCTTCTTTCTTTTCTTTTGGCCAGTCCTTCTCCTTCACCCTCCCTCTTTCTCTTCTTTCCTTGCTTCTGCCAGAAGATTTGAACAGGTGGCCTTATTCATTCATGCATTCATTCATTCATTCATTCATTCATTCATTCAATTTATACCCCACCCATAGAGACCAAAGTCTACTCTTAGGGAAATAAGGATAACGATTACATGAAATTAGACCGCAGGCCACATGCAGCCTTGGGGCTGTCAGTTGCCTCCTCTGCAAATTTTTATTGTCCGGGTTCTTTTCTTTTTTTTTAAGTGTACCTTGTCTCTCTTTAGAAACAAATTACAGACAAGCCCAAACCAAGCAAATCCTCAGTTGCATAAATTACAGAAAGGCAGATCAAACCAAAAATAAGGGACAACAGGGCAAAAAATGGTAAAATGCTATCCCTCAGAATTGCTTGAACATCTGATTGCGAAAGAACCAACAAATCTTGTTGTGACATTTTGTGTTGGGTCTCTCTCTTTTTTTAATGGGGGCTTATTCTGGAAATCAATAACCTTCAAGTGTGCTGTAAAGGTTTCAGAAGGGATATTGATTCCGGAGTCCTGTGGCAGTGATGGGAAGTGGCAGTAGTCACAAAACATGGAACATATGACCTTTGATGGTAATAGTAGAGTGGGGAAATGAAAGGACGGCAGCCAGGGAAGTATTTTATATTTCAGTCAAACACTCCTGAACACTGGGACGCACCCTGTCAAGATGCAGCAGCTGTCGACGGGACTTACCTTGAACATCTGCTTGACTTTCTGCCGCGGTAGGTTGACGTTGAGTTTGTGCATCAGCTGGAGCACTTCGTTAATGCTCAGGCTGCCGTCGCCATTCTTATCCGCTTCGTCAAAGGTTTGTTTCAACCACATTTAGCAGGAGTCAAGGAAAAAAAGGAAAAAGTCCAAGAGAGCAAGGAATGGAGAATGAATATGAATCTGTATCAGGACATTTTTCCCTAGCGCTGTTTCACCAGGAACTGAAAAAAACCTGAGAAAGACTAACCGAGAAATAGAATAAGAATGAGCCTTATAGCCGTGCTTTCATGCCGCAAGATGGCATCATCCAGTCATTGGGAGCAAATGTGGGTAAAAGTGAAATTGACGAGTGAAATATGCCCAACCTGATCCCTAATAGATTAGTATTAAGGTTTTTTAAAATTATAACTTCCAGATGTCTCCCAGTGACCAAGATGGCTGGGAAATTTCTGGTAGAAACCCAAAACAAACTTTTCCAAGGTTGCCCCAAAGTTCACCCCTACTGCGTCTTGCCCCTTTTCCCCTCTCCCTCCGGCAGGATACTGGTCTCTGGTTCTCTGCCGCTTCGACAGGCTGTCTTCATCGCTAATCCCGGCCATCAAGTACTTAAGCCCTGTGATCCAGGTCCGAGCTTCTTCTCCACTGGATGACACCAGGTCCAGAGACTCCATGTGATCGCCGTAGTAGATGCTGAAGCAACAGTTGGGGTCAAAGCTGCCGTCTGCATAGCGCTGGAAGATTTCTGACTGTTTTCCCTCGCACACCTCCTGGATGGAATCTATGGAGACTGAAATATTCAGGGAAAGGAGAAACAAGAGAACCTGTTAAGAGATACTGTTTGGCTGCCACCTTGTTGTAGGAGTAATACAGGGTTAACATGGAAGAAGAAACATGGCTGATATCTATATTTGGCACCTGGCATGAAGTTGCTAGTTCTCTCCTTTGCTCCTCACCCCAGATTTGGAGTCAGTCATAAGGAATGCTTTGACAGGCCACTATTTGTGATGACTGGTTTCTGTTGGGCTTGGTGGGACACAAATGGTATTGAGCCACTTTATGTGGCTGGAGGTGCTTCTAGGTCACAGTTGCTTCCTCAGCATACATCATGTGTATTCGTCCAAGATGCCCAAAGTGTTATCTTCTGCACTCCTATTCCATTAACAAAGGAAGGCCCCTTCCACTAACTAACAATCAGTGAAGAAGTATTCTATGAGAAAAGGGACCCCACGTACCACTACGGTCCTACTGAGCCTCGTGGTGCAGTGGTTAAACTGCTGTACTGCAGCCAAAATTGTGCTCACGACCCAGAGTTCAATCCCAGAGGTTCACCCAGCCTTCCATATTTCCAAAGTTGGTAAAATGAGTATCCAGCTTGCTGGGGTGGGGAATATAATGTGTAACTTGGATAATTAACTTGTAACGCACACCTCCAAGAGTGCTTTAGGCACTATGGGCCGGTATATATGGGAGAGGACTCTGGGAATTGTGACCCAAAACAGTAATTACCCTATTGCTTATCAGATCCACTACATTGTATATTTTTAAAATGGGACCTTAAGACTTTGTGTCTTAAGCCTTACCATTAACCGTATGACTCTGATATGGGATTCATAAGACAGTGTCACTGGTGTCCTTGCTTACATTACATGTTAAAGGGCTACCCTGAGCTGTTTCGGGGTGCATCTGAGAATACAAAGGACTGGTTCTGAATTCCTCAGCCAATCCCCAAGGATAGATCTCAGTTTGCTCCTATACATGGGGAAAAAAGCATTTTAGAGATCATACAGATTTACAGAGATAGCCATCTATTCTACAAACTTACTTTTGGCCTTTTCGTTTTTTCGAGAGGGTCTCCACCGAATGCACGATTTGTGTTCGTCCAGGTAATAGAAACGAACCAGACCTTTGGAGCTGCCCCGGAGTTTGATCATCTGGGTACCAGCTTGCATGGAGCTCATACATTTTTCCACTATGAGGGAAAGAAATATATATATATATTATGCTGAAATAAGTAACAACTAGTTTTCCTATTCTAGATATTGTAAAAGGCATTTTTACAATATCTGGAATACAATATCAAAATGCAATGAAAATATTGAAGTTAGGAAGGCCCATCACACAACGAATTGCAAGTTGTTCTGTCCAGTCATTTCCAGCTTAGACCGAACCTGTGAATTAATGAGCTCCTAAAAGTCCTATAATGAACAACCATGCTCCAGTCTTATAATCTGCAGGTTGTGGCTACTTTTATTTTTGTTTCTAGCTGTTGGGAAGTTCTTATCAGAAACTGCCAATATATTCTTGATAGTTCTCAGCAAACAAGCCACGCTATTTATTTTTTAAAAGGACCCCTTCTTTTTGACCCTGTACAAGAATCTTAGAAAACAATGAACATGATTTTTTTTAATATTTAAATCTCAGTCATTCACTACGATTGCTCTTCTTGTGTCATGACACAAAATTAAGAAAACTGTATGTGTATCTGCACTGCATCGTTACATCACTGAAAACACTTCAAGTGACACCAGTGTGACCTACAGAATTCTGGGATCTGTAGTTTGATGAAGTTCTTAATAATTGTCATCTGTAGTTCGGGTTCTGCAGATGTTTCTGACAAAAACTGATACACAGAAAGAGTGTTTGGCCTTCATGGAAACCTTTGGATAACAAAAGAGTGGTTGCATGGAAGATGGAGCAAGCTTGCTTTCTGTAGCTCCAGAGGGTTGGAGATGAAGTAATGGATTCAAATCCCGAGAAAGGAGATTTTTGACTCGACGTTGGGAAGAGGTTCTTGACAGTAAGAGCTGTTCAACAACGGAAAGGAACACCTCAGAGGGTGAAGGACTCTCTTTCACTGCAGATCTCCAGCTCTGCAGCTGAGCGACTCTATGAAACGTTCAAGGCTACCGAACCGTGCACAGTCCTAACGGACTTGGCATGACTTACTTCCAAAAAAGGCACACACAGACCAGCATGTGTGCGAACGTGCTGCATTGTTTTTACTTCTCTCGCAAAAGCTGTCATTAATGTTCACAAAGAAACATTGTTCTGAGATACCAAGATGCTCCTCTTTGTGAACTCAATTCCGCGCTTCGCCAGGCAATAGCAAGAGAGCCCAGCAACATCAGCTTCACTTCCCAGGCTGCACAGCATCAACACTGAACAGCTGATTCCCTCCTACTGGGGAAAAAAAAAGAATGGAAGCATTGCAGATGGGAATGACTGTCGGCGCCTGGTACTGTTCACAGAACACCCTCCCCTTTGGCAAGAAGGGGTGCGGAGTCATGACGTCAGGGCTGCTCTAGACTTTTCTTTATACAAACAGAATACTTCACTTGAGGAATCTTGGCATGAGGATACAGAGGTCCCAGACCCTTGCTTTTTATTACTCTCCAAACAAGAGTTGCTCATACAATATCGATTTTCAGCTGCTTTTACCAATACTGCTTTCCGAAGGCAGATCAAGAGACGTCGTCTGTGCAACACCAGGAGCAACATTCCCTTTGTGGGAGAAATAACTTACAAAACTACCACTCGCTTTTCATTGCAACAACAGCAAAGAGGTGTTCCTTTAAAAATAAAATGCGGCCATGTCTGCCTTCGAATGGTGCAGGCATCCAAAGGACAAAAGGGCCCTGTAGAATGTCTTCTTGCTAAGATCAGGGAAGGAAAAGATTCCTTTAGAAAACACTACAGGTCCCAGAATGCCACAGACAGCAGGGGCTCACAGTACTGCTGCCGGTGGAATGCCAGGACTGGTACTCCAGAGAATAGCTTCAGAAAGCTGGGGTTAAGATGGAGCACCAACGGAGCACAAAGTACCACTTTATGGTAATCCATGCTCCTCCAGTGCTCTGTCTTAACCAAAAGGACCTGTGAATCAAGAAATAATAAGAAGTGAACATTTACTCTACACTGAAATCATACGCTAACAATCTTGAGTAAGTCATGAACGTGCAAGGTGGCATCTAGCTTTGCTTTTGTGAGCCAGTTTGCAAAGCAGCCTTTCTCAGGAATGGCTGCGACACTGTGTGTTACAGTGGAGTTGGTTTCCACCTCAGTCACACAATGCCTGTAATGCCACAAAGAAGAATTAGTGGGACCGAACACCCATTGGATGCTCTGCCCTGCTTCCCACCATAGCCAACCAGTTACCACCAGGAAGCCCGCAAGCTGGACTCGGTGGCAGGAACTTCCTCCCACTGCTGTTGCTCTCAAGGTAGTCAGTGCCGTCCTCAAGATGGGAAATGTTGCCCGTTAGGGATAAAGAAAATAAGGTTCCTCATGTATGGCCATGGTGTTGATGATTCTTGAGCTGCAGTATAACCACCATGAGTAACCTTGCTCCAGCCACATTTTCAGGTTTTTCTTGAAAGCCCAGCCATGCTTGTGGCTATCAGTCTGCTAAATCCAAATTACCCAGGGACATATCTATCAGAAATGAAGGAGAACCACTTTAAAGACAAACTACGGGGCCGAAATACCTTAGTTAGCCCAGGAGTAGAACTCTATCATGGGAAGGTTCTCAGGATATGAACGCCAAAAGTGGATTGGTACCATAGGTGAGGGCCAAAGCAGGGGAGTGGGTGAGATCCAACACAATTCTTACCCATTTGAACCTTCTCCTACCAAGAATGCAAAGAGTGGCTCAATTCTGTGCGTGTTTGAGGAGTATAACTCAGCACAACAGCTTTCCTGCTTACAAAGCATCGCTCAATTCTGCTCAGGTACTTAATAACTTTTTACCTCTGTTGGAAGAAGACACTTGCAAAGCAGATAGAAAACCCTCAAGGGCCCAATTTAGTCACCCTATAGGTTGCTTACCGGCCAAAGGTTTCCATTTATTGATCCACTGGTAGGTTAGACCCTACATTCTGTTTGCTGGTCCTGCCTTCTCTGTTGATGCTGCTTATTTATGAGGCTTCTGGGCTACCTCTCAAAACAGAACTATCCTCCCTCATCAGCAAAACTATATAAAAAAGGCTTTAAAACAATAAACAAAATTCCCAAAAACATTTAGCCAAAGATATTTAGCTGCCTGGGGTAAAGCAGCCAATGGCACTCCCTGCTCACCTCTCAAGGCCAATCAAGGTATTTCAGCACGTGGGGCAAAAAGTCCCACCAGCATTTCACCCACCGCTTAGAGCAAAACTGTAACGACAAGGTAAACAACTCATAATATACTGCCCTCTTATGACATCTGAAACGTGCTGCCTCAGATGCCTAATGGTAGGGCCAGCCCACTATTGTAATATTTAAGACTCTAAATCAGAGTCTCTGAAAACTACTATCACAAAACCATTGTTTTACCATCTTAACTAAAAGCAAAGTGTTTTTTTTAAGAGTCTTAGGGCCACGACAACTCTGAGCTGTTTACAGACAAAGCAAGAACCCAGTTTCGTCACTCATTGCTCATTTTATGCTTAATGTCCCAGTACTGGCTGCATGGTTTTATTGAAAAGCATTGCTTTTAAAATGGATTTGGGTAATTACCAGGTGGTCATTTGATCTGTGGTGGCTTATGTATATATGCAAATAATCCCCAGACAATATGGCCAATGAGTAATGAGTACAGATCTACTAGAAGCTTGAGGAATTCAGTTTTGATAAATGCAAACACAAAGCAGATTGATCTGCAGCTCCAAAGGCCATATACAATTTCGACGTTAGTTATCTGCTGAATCTCAGACACATTTCTCAGCAAAAAATCAGAATGAACATTCATTTAGAAAAGTGTGTTTTGGAAGGAAGTATATTGAGAAACGCAGTTTTTATTACAAATGTAGATGCTCTTAGCATTCTGCTAACAAAGATTTGGAAAAAAAATAAAAATCTTACCAACACATCTCTGACATTTTATCAAACAAACCGCACATATTACAGTACAACACTTGTGCCAAAGAATGAATGCACAGCTAACTCCAAGCTCATTGTATCTCACTTAGTGGATAAACTCTAATATATAAGAAACAATCTTTTCCAATAACTTCAAGAGCAGAAAAACTACACTCTGAAGATTATACAGAAATGTAAACCCACCTACCCACCCCCCAGACGACAAATGGATAAAGCTGTCATTAAATACCACTTAAACCCCAAAGCCTTTAAGACATGGTTGTCTTGCATGGCTGAGGGACCTAAGCCACCTTTGCCACCTTACCTATCTGGCCCATTTTCCATTTGGGGGTGGCCACAATGCTTCCGCCGATCCAGAAAAATTCTTCTGCCAGGCGGGCCACCGAGAATTTATTTTGGAGCAAAGGAGACCGAGAGAGATCCATGTTGGACACCCAGGCAGTTAACAGTACTGGGTGCAAAAACTTCGCCTCACTTTCGAGAGGTCAGGCAGCTACAAGGGTCCAGCGGAAGGGCACATATCAAAAGGAAAGCGTAAAAAACCCAAAGAAGAGAAAAAAAACCCAGAAAAAAACCCCAAAACTCCGCCGTAACTTAAAACATTGATCCAGACTGCTTTGATTCACCGCCAATTTCTCTCTCCTGGCTCCCTCTGTCCTTCCAAGCGTCTGGAAAACAAACCCTGAGATTGTTTTATTTCTAATCCAAATCATTAGGACTTAGATCAAAAAGTTTTTTTTTAAAAAAAATTAAATCCTCGTGTAAGATATAGTCAAAAGGGGGTAAAAAAAACATGGGACATTGTTAGTCCCCATCCAGGCAAAGTGGCAAATGGAAGGATGGAAAGAAAGGCCTCTGATTCATGCAGATTTCTGTCCCTTGTCATCGATGCTAGAGAGCTCTCTGGGTGCTGTTACTCCAAGCCACAGCTGTCTCCTCTCCACGCCGCTTCTCCCTCGGACAGCTGAGAGTTCATTCCTTCGTGCACATTGGACTGGGAACGGGGCTGAAATGCTGTTGAACATTCTATGCCTGCCCCCAAACTTTGGACAAGGCGCAAAAGGGGTTGCTTCTCCATGCCGCAGAAACAGAGAGCTTCAAATGCCACTTCGA